ATTTCTAACAGTATTTTTCTTTGCGCTCAGCGAAAATCTTTGGACGTCGTTTTTAGAATTTGTATTCAATCAAATCTGTTTCATGGCATTTCGAAAGTATATTATTTCACAATAGATATTATTATATTCAATAGTTCTCATTTTATCTCACAGAATTTTCACGATTCCATTGAAAATGTATAGGTATGCTCACACAAAATCTCAAAATTATTTCAATTCATGTTCACGAATTTATGTTCTCCTTAAATTTTAATTTTGCGAGTTTAAAATCTTTCTTCGAAGTGTTTTATAAGAACTATCTCGTGATAATATTTGTAACGCAATATTTCATTACTTTTTTTTACCTTAATTTTCTAGACAAAATATTTTAAAATATCTTGGTTATTAATTTTATTTAACATAGATTAGTACATCAATTAACACAGCAATTTACTATTAAATATTTGATGGTTTCCTGATCACCAATACTTTTGAGTTATTGTACTTTTATTTGCATAAGTTTCTACTTCTCGCTAATTTTGCAATGAATAAAATGTTATCAATTGAATTGTGCAATATTCCGCAACCATCTTCAGACTTCTATTAGATAATATTAAGCACGCTCTTTTTTTTAATGAATGCTTTTTCTAAAGCCTTTTGTTTTTCAAGAACAAAGATAAAAGATGCTCTTAAGTACTTTGTTTTACTAAAGAAATGTCTCGATTAACATTGTTTGATCATATCAATTTGATACTTGTTGTTGATTTCCGATGCAATAAGTGTTTTTCCAAGAATTCTTCATGTGATTTCACGTTATGTAGCTATTGTTATACTGCACTGTGTAATTTTATCAACAGGTTTCTTGAAAAGAGCTCGACGTTCTAGTTCAAACGGACAGGCGTATCGCGTACCTTTTTTACAACGTAATATGAGATCAAAAATTTAAAACTCTATCTTGAGTTTTATTTTTAGAAAGAACGTTTTTCTATGCGAAAGTAAAGTCTCTTTTTAATTAGTTCATACGTAGCAAAGCTATTATTTTAGAAGTTAAGAATTAATAATTTAATTAACACTTTGAAAATTAAAGGACAAAGATGCAGTTGTTGCATATCATTAGTGAGTATCACTTTTTCTCATTAAAGCTCATAAAAGTTTTCTGTTGTATATCTTATGCGTGAGTTTAACACATAGACATCCATTGTCTAATGAAATGTATTAGCTAAGTGAAAAGTCTGAAAGATTTTAAAGCTTCATAGCTTTCTAGAATATTCTCTCGTTATGCTCAGTGTATTTGGAATGATTTCATAAGGTCTATGGATATCTTTTATTTTTCAACTCTTTGTTCGGTTTATGCCAATGCTTGATGACAGATATTGTTTGCTTATACGTACGTAAGATAAAAATCGTTGTTCGCTAGTAAATAAATACGTACGTGCCTACATCAAAACAATAAAATAATAAAATCCCTTTATCTCTTTAAACGCTGCTCTGAATTAAAAAAATACTTAAGTTACTTTGTGCATTAAAAAACTCCCCTCCTGTGTTAAAAATTTAAAAAATTTGAAAATTAGAAAATGAAAATTTATTAGTGTGTATGGTTTAAATGGAACAATCAGAAAAATTCACGGTAATTTAATTTGAAATATAGGGAAGATTTTCTGAGACATTTTTCAGTGTTTTAATGCGAATTAAAATATAAAAACTTTTAGTTTAAAATTAAGGAGAATTAACGAATTGAGTGAAGACTGTTAAATTTTCTTAATTTGATATACTACAGAAGAGCCAAAAATTTGTTTCTAGCTTTTATTTTGTTATCAATATTTTTTGATATAGGAATTTTTCTCCTTTGTTACGAATTTAGAATTTAAGGTAGTTTAGATAAAGAAAGTTGATGCTTATTTTCATTTTATTCGGCATCTTTCATCGTCCACGTTTTGGATTTTGTCTATCATACGTTATTATGCGCCATACAATTTTCTTTAGTAAAGATATGCGCAACATGACACTTCTAATGAGAAAACATGTGTTTGTCATCAAGTAATTAGTATTATAGTAAAATGTTTCTGAGCATAAATACGTATATCTCTTTGGTTAATTATTTCAATAAACCTCATAAATTATTTAAAAAATTTTAGCTCAAAAATCCTAAAATTATTTCAAACATAAATTAAGCACTAAAGTAACTGCAGAATTACTAAATAATTTATTAATATTTTAGGAGTAAAGTAGAGAAAATGCTTTGCTCGAAGCGATGTAATGTGATTTCTTTTCTTTTTTTTTTCTTCTCTGAAATTTACCCCCTTCAACATGATTTGGAAAAAAAAAAGTTTAAAAAAAAGCTGTCTTTCAGTCTTTTTTTAAAACTTTTTAAAAAGTTGAAATTAATTTGATTCTATTTTACATTAAAATATCATTCTACTTCAAATAAAAATTTTGTAAGTTTGATAATTATTATTTTGGTATATTAGTGTTTTATTTTGTGTAATACTGGTTTTACCACTTTTGGGTCCAAACCAATGTAATGAAGAATAAAATGTTAGTTAGTATTTCGTAAGTTGTTATTTAATTCTATTTCGAGAATAAAAAAATACCTATTTCAAGTAGAAATTTCGTAAATTAACGGTATAGTATTAATACCTGTTTCAAAACCCGGCTTTCTTTAATTCTTAAGAAGATTGTATGCTTTTTTTTATTACAAGAAAGATGCTACATGTTATCTTAAAGTACTCAATTTTGTTTTTAAATTTTATTCATTCTTATCTTTTTGCACTGAAAAACACGATGCTTCCAGAATTTTTAGAAGAGGGTACTCAAATTTTTATCTCATATTTTTTTTCTTCACAAGATAGTGGCTGTTATCTATTTCTTACAAAAAATTCATTTTGTTATCATTCTAAAACTATCGAATACATCGGAAGCAATTTTGTAGCAAATTCTAGATAAAAAGAAGGTGAAAGCATTTTCATGTAGTGAAAGTATTTGATAAAGTTGTATTTGTGAAAATGTGAAGGTTCAATAATCTCTGACATTTTAATAACAGGAAATGTCTTTTCAGTACACAGTTGTTAAATGATAAGTTTTGTCTAACATTCGCAACATAATTACATGTCTAAGCTTGACTGTTGTGGGGTTTTTTTGAAAACGTTGACACTTTTTTAGCTGCAATAGTAGTCAACAATTGCAAATTTGATTTCTGCTGTATGTGCGAAAGACAAAAATTAATAACGCTTGGTGTGATATAAGTATGCATTTCCTAGCCGTTAGGAAAACTCATATTTGCATATCTGTCCCCTTCGCGAGTATTATTCACAATACATCTAAATTATGCAATGTATATATCGGTACATGAGATGTGTAATGCATACGTAATGAATAATTATCTTGAACATTCATACCATTCCTGTAACAAATAAAAAATGTTTTTTAACGTCTGCAGTCAATTTTTATTTCAAGTTTTATTTTAAATCCTAACACTTTTGTGCAAGGTACATCAACGGCAGAACAACTACTAACTGAATCGCACGTTCGAAAACTTTCGAAGCTACGATTAGCAGCAATACTCTTATCTCAACCCACACTTTGGACGAAACAATACGCCCAGTTAAAGAGGATCTCAATTAAAGCAATATGTGATAAGAAGTACAATTATAAATTATACTTCTTATCACATATTGCTTTAATTGAGGTCATAATTGAGCACGTGCTCTTCATTTGAAGTTTTGCAAGCTGTATATTCGTTGAACATTCAATATTCAATGAATGCATAGCTGAACATTCAATATTCAATGAATGCATAGCTGAACATTCAATATTCAATGAATACAAGGATGAACATTCAATATTCAATGAATGCATAGCTGAACATTCAATATTCAATGAATGCATAGCTGAACATTCAATATTCAATGAATGCATAGCTGAACATTCAATATTCAATGAATGCATAGCTGAACATTCAATATTCAATGAATGCATAGCTGAACATTCAATATTCAATGAATGCATAGCTGAACATTCAATATTCAATGAATGCATAGCTGAACATTCATTTCAATAATGCATAGCAACATCAATGAATGCATAGCTGAACATTCAATATTCAATGAATGCATAGCTGAACATTCAATATTCAATGAATGCATAGCTGAACATTCAATATTCAATGAATGCATAGCTGAACATTCAATATTCAATGAATACAATATGAACATTCAATATTCAATGAATACAAGGATGAACATTCAATATTCAATGAATACAAGGATGAACATTCAATATTCAATGAATACATAGCTGAACATTCAATATTCAATGAATACATAGCTGAACATTCAATGTTCAATGAATAAGCCATTTTGAGCACTGTGATCTAAAAGTTTATATTTAATCTTAATATATGTACTATATTGCATTATTTTAAAAAATGAGAACACAAATAAATCTAAGCAAACTTAATATTATTATTTTTCGTTTCCAAAGAAAAGCTATCCGTGCAACTGCAACTCAGAATTTTTGTATATTGAATTATTGGAGTTTTATCATATGTGATGGTCCATATAATATACTCATTAATTTATGTTTGTTCTGCCCTGACCTGTTTGCGCAGAAGCAGTTATTCGCAGAAAGAGGAATTAAGCATTTTATGTGATAGCAGTAACACAGAAGCTTATGGCGGTGATTCATTCACGTTTTCCTCATAGATACGTATCTCTGTGTAGAATCACGTGAAACTTTCTCGAAAGTGACCTTTCTCAATAATAATTTTCCATTTTACTGCAACCTGTTGCTGTCTTAAACGTTATCCAGCTGAGTAAACATCACGCGTTCTCCTAAGCTCGAGCTCTGGAGCCTTCTCTTTTCTGCAGTTCGAATGATGGGCGAGCGTGATGTACCTTGTGATACACGTCTCTCTCGGTTTGTGCGATAAAAGTGCTATATTTAATAAAATTTTCTGTGCCAAAAAATGGCACCAGAGAAAAGTTCGTCGAAAGCCATTTCAGAGGAATCTATTGATCTTTCAGAGGGCATGTCCCTTACTATAAAAGAGATGTCCATGCAGATGGCAGATGATGATGAGCGCCGGCGAATGTATGCCATGTTGACTTGCATCGTGACAGTTATTTTTGATCTGTTCCTTGGCACAGCAGCTTTTGGTAAGTCAATTTCATGTAACTTTTATAATTAAAGTAGAGCTATCTTAAAATTCCTAAATGGTAACTGATGAAAATGTTTCCAAAAAATGGTTGGCAACACAAATTAAGAATGTTATTTGAAACAAAACCTTCCTCTCTTTTATTCAAGTTCTTAGATAGTTCAGGAAACATCATATATTTCAAGATGTAGACATATAACATGAAATAAAAAAATGTCCATCAACAATCTGTGCTATATAAACTGATAATGATTAACATTCAGTATTCCATGGTATCAGAATTTATTATAATTCAGTCCTTTGGCGGAAGGTTCTTGGAGATGTAGCGCAATACTGAGTTAACACTGCATATGACCATTTGTAAGTGAGAAATAACTATTCACACGTACGCTCCGAATTTTTATCAATAATGTATCGACATTTCACATAGAACAGTAATGTACTCCAATGAAATGTTATCTACGAAGCCATTAACAGCAAACTCCACTAGCGGTTGACTGCGTAAATCCTAGATATCTTTTTGCAGCAGTTCTCAGATTCTCCTCTCGGAACCGAAGGAGTTTCTTTATGCGGCTTTCGCTATTTTTGCTTATGACAAACGGAGAAATAAAGCAGTTTCATTTAAAATCTTCAAAAAAGGGCCCTCTTTCTATTATATAGACGCCACACGTCTTGTCATAATTAGCTAGCTAACTAATATACAGTTTAGCCTTCAACAACTCTGTTATCACTTTTGTAAAATTGCAAAATTTTATGTTAGCACAGTATTTAGAAAAGCTAGTTACATTCTTAATTCTTCAAACTTCCGGATGTTTATTTTTACTTACAATGCATATTTAGAAATCTGTGGTTAGAAATGCTGTAAGACGTTTATTACTTCAATAGATATCAATATATCAAAGAATTACTACCTATTTATAACAAATTTTAACATGATATTTTACTATTATACCTTTTACAAATTTACCTTTTTATGTCATCTTAGGTTATTTAGGGAATTATTTTTATTTAAAAGTATAGCACCTTGCTCATATTGATTACTGATTCCTTCTGAGTGCGGAATTACTGCAGATTTATGAAGATAAATGCAATGAATTTTGTTTCATGGGCCAAACAGGAATGTAATAGCTACTGCTTTATCAACTTTACAGTTCACTTTTGGATAAAGAATATTTTGTAGATTTTCATTATGAGAGTAATAGTTTAATGTAATTAATTTCAGCTATTTTACTTTAATTATAAGAATAAAAGTAATAAAAGAAAATTTTAGCTGAATTTATTTATTTATTTATTTTTTTTTTTTTGTCCTGATCTTAACTTTAGCAATTAATTTTTCGTTTTTAAAAATAAAATTATTTATAAAATTAATAAATTTATAAAGTTAATTTTATCCTGTGTATCAATGGCGTATTGCCTCAGATCTTTGGAGTTTAAAAATTTCTGTGTTGGAAACAATTTCTAATAATTCAAAAAACTTTTCTTTTTAGTGTGTGCGGCCATTACAGATAGTTCAGCTGGGTATGCATTTGCGGTAAGTTTTTGATTCAGTGATTTGACAGTATGAATTTATTTTAATTTAATTTTATAATGTAATTCATCGTAAAATATTTCGCGTCAAAATTATAAATTTTATAAAATTTATCGCACAGAATATTGGATTTTAATAAGCTAAAGAGGCTTCAAACAAATTGTTCTAATTTTAATTTTAAAAATGTTTATAACAATTACTCGGATCGAGTTAAACACTAGTCTTAATAATTAAATTGGCAAAACCAAAATCAAGTCTTTCTCAAAAATTATAATCTGAATGTAAACATATCTTATTGTGAAGAGAGAAATAAATTAGGTAATTAAATACTCAATCAAAATTGCTGTAGTTTTTGCCAAAACATACAGATCAAGTCTACATTATCAAACTCTAAGGAAAGTAATCTTTCTAAATTCTTTGCCATAAGAGTAGATGGAATGTTTTAGCTAAACTTTCATTGTCTTTTGAATAATACTAATTGATTACTTAAAGCTAAAGCCAGACTGAAATTTAGAAATAGGGCAGTTACTAGCAGAAATAGCTAAATATTGATCTGGAAGTTGTCACTATTCTATGAAAATAATTTTGCGACACTGGAGGCATTCTCTGAAAGTCAACAATGTAACAAATAAAGAAGGCCATTATTTAGCCTTAATTTCTTATAGCACTGTAGCGTTGACAATCAGCTTTCTTTGATACTTTTCTCTGCTCCTGAAAGCTGAGTTCTGAGGTAAAGAATCTGTAAAGGTTATGAAAGCAGGTTTTTTAAAAAAGATAATACGAGTATCTGTGTTCTGTTGAGCTCTTCAGCTTCAAGATATCTGTTCTATTACGTTATGTTCAGCTCTTCAGTTCTATTTAGGATGGGATCTAAGATGATGGGTCTTGGGTACTCTTTATTAATGGTTAAACTCAGATGAGGCATTTAAACTCTGGAAATGTTCTTATTTGGTGAAAGCCAAATCTATTATCAAAGAAATTGATCCTACGTGGTTGTAGGTAACATTTAGCATCATAACGAAATGTTCTCTTCATGGAATTTGGAGATTCCTGTTTTAATTACTGGTGGCTACAGGAATGAGATATTTAAGATTTGACAAGTAATATATAAAAAAATTAAAGTCAATTCCTACTTAAATCAACAAAGAAAAGTTTTAAAAGTACAAAAAAATATGTTTTGTAAACTGTATTAACATCAAGGTCATTCACTACAAGTTTAAAAAATGTATTTGAATTTGAGTGGATGAATAAAAAGTATTTTATTAACGATTGAAAATTCGAACAAGATGCAGGGAGAGGATGAGCTCATAGTAGGAATTTAAAAAAGGCTGTTTAAGATGCCTTTCTACTTCAGATAATGGATGATCCACCTCTACATAGAATTAGTGTGATGGTGAATGTCACGAAATTAAAAGTATTCAGAGGATACAGTAGTCGATTAGATCTTCCAGTCCAAATCGCTTGAAACGCGTCTAAGTGGAACTGCAAAACCTTACCATGAAGAAATACACAGAGAGTAAGAAACACCTTAATACAGGAAGCAATTAACTGTTAACTGTTCCTACGTCTTATAAACGCTTTTATTAACACAATACGAGTCCATGACAACTAAGAGTGAACATATCTCTTATTACTCCTCGAAGACTTGCTCCGCTTTGCTATGAAATTTTGGACTTTTAAGGGTTCAGAATGTGAAATATAAAGAATTTTTCTATCTATATGTTGCTTACTATTCAGTATTTATCAGGAATAAAACGTGTACAATTTAACTCAAGTTATCGAAATTCTCAAATATTTGGAATACTTCTGATATCAGTTGATTTTATTTCCAGGCAAGTAAATTTAAGTCTGTCATTATTAATGTATTTTTTATCTGCTTATCATTATTAATACATTTTAATTTTCATTGGTCTAAATTTTATAAAAAGATAATTCATGATTTCTAAAATACTTTTGAATTAATTTAGATTAATATGATTAATATGAATTTTGTCCCAAAATGCTATATTTTGTTGGGCAGAAATAAAAGGTTTCATTTAACTAAATAGTTTTGCTAAAATAATATACGGTAAAGAAGCACATAAAGTATCCTCTCATGTTTGCAAATCATTTGGATTTCAGCAAACAATAAGCGAGTTATTCATTTTGCTGCAGTTAGTTCGCATGTATAGAATTCTAATGCATTTTAAAGTTCCTTCTAAGCATTTTGTATAATTTTTGGTGAATTCTTGATTTAGTTTTGCTAATTTAATTTCAAACACTAACGAATACCGATGCTATTTTACGGACGTTCGTTTTATTTGTTTTAACTATATCGTGTGTTAATTTGGTTTAAACAATAACACATTACAGTAAAACTCCAACAGGTGATCTGAAGAACCAGTTCTTCCGCTGAAGACATTCCAGTGTGCCAGAAGGCTCCCCAGCAGACTGTCAGGGCTAGTATTAGGCATAATTCGGTATGTAATAAGGAAAAACGAACTGGTAGGTAAAGAATATTGTCACTGAAAAGTATCTTTACGTGCGCTGAAACTAAAAATTTAGAGGGTCATATAGTATACATATTGCTTAACGATACTGGGGGGTGTTCGACATCGTAAAGAGGCAAAAGTGAGAAATTCTTAAATAAAATTTCTTCTTTGTGCCAATGCAAGTTTAATGCAACTGGTTGTTGTAGTGTAATTTTTCTCTTTTCATGTAGCTGGATTGTTTACTAGACGTCGTTGCTGCCACTTTAGTGATCTGGAGATTTTACGGGTCTTCTTCCACTTACTCCCAGTTCAGAGAGAATTTGTAAGTATCTTTTCATTAAATTCTACGATACAGTGTTAGTTTAAAATTGTAATTTTTAGATAGTTTTCTATTTTTATCTTTAATTCCCACATAGTTGGAATTCAGAGAGAACTTGTATATTTTAACTACATAGAAAGATCCTTTATAATTCAATATAAGTTTGACTGTAGTTCTGGTCTTCCTGGGAGAAGTGTTTGCGGTGTACGTTTTAACTGTATTCTGCGAAAAATTAAATTTAGAAGTCTTGACAAATTAAAATTTTTAAATTAAAGGATATTCTTTCGAAATCTTGAAGGATAGTCCGTCAGCGGTTTTGTATTTTTTGATTGATGCGCATCACAGAGGATTAAATTGATCGAATACATTTGAAAGTGTAAAGGGCACTGGTTATCATTTAATTAAGGAAAAATCACAAAAATGACTGTTGCTCAAAAGGTTAATGTAGAGTTTAATGAAACTGACTCACAGCATACAACACATAGTAAAGCATAAAATAACATGAAAAGAAATTAGCAGACAATTATGGTGTTATAAAAATTAGCATATGTATAACATGAATAAATCACATGTGTCAGTTTGATATAAGAAAATTACCTTCGATAGAGTACGATCGCCCCTAGAAGAATTATAATACATGCAGAAATGTTCGATGCTGCCAATTATGTAATCTATCAGTCCAGTAGGAAGTGAGAGCCATTGCTCTTATAAAGCAGTTGCAAGCGTGGCAAAAAGGAAGCGTGAAGCGTGAAGAGGAAGACTGAGAGCAGCTATACATCTTCCTAAAGCACCCCGGAAAGGCTCGATCAGTGGGAACTCGAAATGACTAACGCTGTATTTCAGAAGATTCATGACTTATTTTATGGTCTTTAAATGTCAGTTTGCGACCACGGTGGATTAAGATTTTGTGAGTGGCTAAGAACTTTGCGAGTGGCTGTCGACGGGTTTCCTGCGACAGCCCTTAACATCCCTCTATCTCGTTAGGATTGCATATCCGACCCTTATTTTCTATGTGATTCCGAGTTGTTTAAATGTACCCTATCCCTCCTAAAAGTTAGTTCCTCTAGTTTTCAATCTCGCTGGATATTGGCAAAGATGTATAAAAATGTATTAAAAGTATTAAGAGGATACGGTAGTCGATTAGGTCTTCCAGGCCAAATCGCTTGAAACACGTCTAAATGGAACTGCAAAATCTTACCATGAAGAAATACGCAGAGAGTAAGAAACACCTTAATACAGGAAGCAATTAACTGTATATTGGCAAAGATGTCTTCAATGGCTATTCAAAAACTCATCAGATAAAGAAAAATGCACAAAAATTTTATTTTTAATTAATTTGTCGACTAAACGTTTATTTCAGTATTAAATTTCAAGCTGGCTTATTGAAAATATGAATCCGCGTCTGAGGTTTGCTGTTAAACGTAGGAATTATCATTTATTAAAAGTAGGGATATCCATCAATATATAAAGAATATTTTAGTACTGAAGTTTTCGCTCACTGGCGGGCGAGCTGTAATATTGTTGAATAGTGGCAGTTAGACTAAGTTTCAAATACCGGTGAAATGGGCTACCTGCATGGGAAACTTCCTAATTTTGTCTATGTATAATGTAAATATGAGTAAGTTTATATTAAGAAATCCTCCACGAAGTCAACTCTTTTAGCGAAATAACACTGAGTGCTTTACCATAATTTGAATAATCCAATCCAATTGCTCTACGAGTACTCTATATAAATATAGATTTTAAATTTGTTTTTTATCACAGTCTTGAAACTTTTATTATAAGACCCTGGGCTTATCAGAAGTTTCGTAATTGGAAATACATGTCTAAAGTGAATACCTAATGCCTAAAAAATAACGTCTGTAACTAATTTTCGGAAAATCCTGCATGCATACTTTGAGTAATGAGTTATTGCTGAATCCCACTGGCCAAATAAATTCAAGTTAGGAAATTAGTTCTTGAAGCTGCAACAGACTAAAGTTTCACTCTGAGGTTTCAATTAACTTTTTTCAAAAGTGCATCCTAAGATATTGATTGAAGGGGGAAAAGGGCTAACAAACTTAAAATTATTCTGAAACTGCAGTCCATCTTGACGAAATTAGATTATTCTCTAAGTTCTCATCTGAAACAAAATTCTTCTTGGCTTACAGAATTTCTAATATGCATCGAATCAATAATCGGGTGAAAACCGGAAACTGTAATTGACTTTTTTCGTATACTAAATTGAAATTTGTTTTTATTTCTTTTCTAGGGCTTGCATTTGTCTAGGAGTTTTATTCTGTTTAGCATCTGCTGGAATTGTTTCCAAATCAGTTTATGATATAGTGGCTCACACCGTTCCTCAACAGGTAATATTCTATCCGAAAGAATTCCATTAAAGATTTTGAAGTTCTAACAATTTGGGAATGTTTTTTAATTTCCTTTTTCTCCCATGAAGTACAAGAAAATGATTGAAATTTAGACTGTTAGATATTTAGACACAAATGTTAAGAAATAAATGAAGCGAAGATTGCGTTAGGGTTGCCAAACTAGCTCTCTTAATTTTAGATTTCGTTAGTGTTCTATCTGCTTTGCATTCGAAAATTCATTGATACGACTAACCTCATAGATCAGACTTAAGTCCAAGCAGTACACATCCGCCTTTATTTTCGGATAGATGTTTGGCAAAATACCTTTATTTGCTTGAAATGGTTTAAATGATTATAACAGATGATACTCAGCACAAGTGGAATTTTTAACACAATTAGATACATTTAAGTTTAAATTTTAATTGAAACATGACGCTATGGAGTTAATATTATAAAACTGCGTAAATTCAAATCCTTTGATACAAACTGCACATATAATGCTAGCAAATGCAGATAAATAAATGTTTTAGTTTTGCAGTACCGCTAATTTAATATGTTTGGTATTGCAAATGAATGAATGCGGAATATGTTTTATTATAATAAGGTACGATGGTAATAGCGGTATCTACTAGTGAAATTTTGAGCTAAAACTTACCCTTAGCCTATCAGAAACTGTTTCAAGGCTTGTCTCAATTAAACGCCGAACTTAGTGGTCAAGTGTTATCACGGCATTGGCAAAGTTACTTACAAACAATGTTCCTCCTTTTTGTAAATACAAATTAAATTAAATGTCTAAGGACATGTATAAATGCATCATACTCTATATACGCTGCTTAATATGTACACCCTAACCCTCAATTTACACGGAAGATAGGTTCCGCACAAAACCGTTTAAATCGAAATTTTGGATTTTGCTATGTAAAACCGTGTAAAATGAAAAACACACTAAATGCGCATAATTTAGTTATTTATTTACATAAAATAAAAGTAAGACATCTTAAAATAAATACAGTTATACTTCGTTCATAAAATAACAAATATATGTAGATAATAGAAGTATATATTTAATTTATTTTGCGTTAGGAAAATATAAGATCATTCAAAAAATTATTATAAGTTTAATCATTGGCATCACTTTCATGAACTATAGTCTTTTCTTCTTGATTGGTATGATGCCACGTTCATCACTTGAGCGTTCTTGATAAGATTCTGCTTCACTGGTTGACGAATTGGGAAAGATCTGAGATCGACAAGACTTTCTAGTGAAATCCGTAATTAGTAATTGCCTAGTATCAATTGGAATCTGTTTTTGATTTTGGTCTTCTATCCATATCACTTATGCCTTTTCCATATTTACCATTGCATCGTCTCTTGCATATGGAATTGTGCTCTTACTGCTGCAAGTTCCAGCTGCTATGCTTTTTCTAATACAGTATTCATTTTTTTCTAACTGTTCTTATTGTGGCTTCATTTTATGGAGTAAAATTTAGAAACATCTGTTAGTCTTTCTGTATTAAGTAGACGATCTAATATTTTAATTTTTGTTTCTAAAGAAGTAATTTTTCTTTTTATTTGACCGTTTTCAAAACTTTTGGCATTATAAAACCTTAAATAATTTATGTAAATTATAAAAATGTCACAAAAAATATTAATGTTTAAAACTTACCAGTAAACATTCAAATATTATAGATGAAAATGATGTAAGCTTTCCTGCTAAAATACTGATACTGCACTAGTTCACATGAATCAAATAGCTTTACTGTTGTGAAATACATATATAAACTACGGGAATTCCCCTTTTACAAACGCGGGGAATCCCCATCTTTGTTGCCGCCACCAGTATTAGCAAAAGAATTGAGCGTCAAAATGACTTCAAGTATAGTATGTATTTGTGTATATGCAGCCGAATATACATTTTTACCAAGTTTTTGAAGTCCGTAATTTTTTAAACCGTGTAAAACCGAAATCGTGTAAAGCGAGTAACTTGTAAATCGAGAGATAGGTGTACACCGAAAATATTTCTTCGTTTAACTTTCTGCCATCTGCTAATGAAAAGGCTATTAATTTTACTATTCTACCAGTTACAGAGATGGCTAGATTTTAGTAAGTATTCCAAGTTTGATTGTTGGCGTGTGAATGAAGTGGCGGTATGAACTTACCGTGCTCTTGCTCCCACGTAACAAAATTAGGAATCATTTTCTTTCGGAAAGATATCCACGAAGACATTTTTTAAGAACAAACGGTACTCCAAAGTTTTACCATAATCTGTGAGATATTAAATACTTTTAGCTGCTTTCAAAACTGTAAATATTTCAATAAAATTATGTATTATTTCAGCTGATGTATGTGTTCATCCTCGCTGGCGTGGGTGGATTCACGAATGCTGTCTTGGGAACGGTGAAATATATACTGGGTAGAAAAATGAGGAGTCCGTCCCTCGTTCTTGAAGGTAAGAAAGTACTTTCAGCCCAATAATATTATCACTTCATGAAGTGACATGTTTTAAGGGAGGTGTTAACTTTGGCAAAAGTAATTATGCACATAGATAGTACACACGACATACACGCTAATCTTAAAGTTTAACAAAATTAAAACATTTATTTTAAATGGAAAGTTTCAAACAAATTCGAGAGACATCGTATTGTACTCTATGTTCTCAAAAACAAATTATTTTTCTCGTATTTTTTTTTGCTCTGCTGCATGAAAATAATGCAACAAATACTTAGCACTATTTGTTGAAGGAATCAAATAGTATACAGAATTCACTGTCATGAGCAGATAATGTAAATATTGTTGGATGAAAAGGACAAAAACTAGAATAATTATCTGTTTTATTTCCCCTTAATTAGTTTCCTTAAATCCTTCACATTTAAAAATTATATTTAATGGTAAAGCTTCATCATCCAGCAGATTTCGTGCATCTCACGATATTTATTTATTTTCCTTTTTTTTCAATTTTCTCAAAAGATTTCAGTAAGTGTTCACAGCAGTACTTATTTATAGCGATTCAACAATGGCATATATATAGAAAAACATAATGTTGATAAATAAACTTAAGAACTTCTTTCAAAACGGATAATTTTATCATTTTAAAACATCAAAACGAGTTTACCTTTCATCTTTTTTAAATACATAATATGCAGTGAACCCTTTTCTGGAAACCAAGACTAAACGTGAGCAGTGTTTCGACCCTCCGACCCTTCCCCTCCGGGGTGCTTTCCATCAAAATTGAAGGGCGGAACCGAGCAAAATCGCTCAGTCACCTGAAAGGTGTTTAAGGCTCTTGCCAACGGCAGACGTAATCTAACGCTCCTTGCCACGATGAATTTCTTAGGCTTAAGCTGACTATACGTCAGACATGTGAGGAGAAGCAACAACAACAGTATTTCGAAGGAGATAAACACTGTTATTCGTAATTACAATATAATATTATTCTATAAGACTACTTAAGTCGTCCGCGATGGTCAAATACGTCTGAAGACTAAGACAAAAATGTGTCATTCTATTAACAAACTAAACATTTTATGTGCGAAATAAATCAGAGTCGCATTTTTAATTCATATTATAACAAAAATATTGAGTTTATGGTTAAGAATAGTTAATTATTTTTGAACTATTAATTTTATCTTTTTTTTAGCATGGTTCACTACTTTCTAATGAGAACTTTGAGGTCCTTTCCCGTTCCCCATTTCCGATCATAGCATACATCGTAACAGCCACACAAAATTTGTTTTCTACACTGCATTTGAGACTGTAGTTCAAGTAGCCTTCATTCGTGTGCTTTTCACTAAGCGAAACACACTGCATGAAACAAGAGAATGAAGTGGTAGAAAAAATATAGGTACTTGACCCGGCTTTCCGGAACTGGTCGTTACTACGGTTACTAGACAAGGTGGGAAGGATGAAAAATACCTTGAACAGCTTTTCTAAAGTAATAGACTACAGCAGCCTGTTGCTTTAAAATGGGCAGTTTACCTAAAGGTAAAACCTTTAAATATTGACAGTTCAACCAGAGTTCCAATCTGGGAAAACGAGCTAATTCTGTGAGAGGTTTCATCTTTTTCCGCACGTGTAGCATTTATTCGAACTTAATTCCCTTAAAAGTCGTTCATGAAGGTGTTCCTAAATTTTAGGTAGATAGCAATTGTGTGTTTCGTTATAATTTCAACAATTCAATCCTACCTTTTCGCAATGTCATGCAATTTATCCCATACAGTTTATAATACACGCTTTTGAAAGGATTCATCATTCTTAAATGGTTCATGTGTTTCTTAATATTTTCTTTTCATGCGACTGAAAACATATAACAAATCAATGTTTCGTTCACGTAAGCAGTTTCTCTTTCTTACATTATTGCATTAGATCGTATTTATTACGAAGCTGACAGCTCAATGTATGTACGCATGGTTTCTTTAACTTAAGTAAATCTTAAATGATCAAATTTAGATCAAGGATTGTACGAGTGAAAAAGTAAAAGTAATAAATTTAGAAATACGCTTAAAAGTTTGGCTATGCATTTTTGTAAATGATTCGTAATTTTATTAATGAAACTTACTAATAAAATTTATGTACTGCTTGTTTGTGTTCATTATATAATTTGTGTTATTCATTATCTAATTTGTTCATTATCTAATGTGTTCATTATCTAATTAATTTCTACTTCAGAATTTGTTTTTAACAACCTCAAAAAAAAAGCGATTAAGGTAAATCAGTCGTTTTGTAATGCAAATATATAATTTCCATCACTGATAATCATAATTAAGACAACCCATATCCACAAGTAAGAAGTTTATACGGTTCTTTAAATAGATTCACTAGAACTGTAGCTGGTCGGGTTGTAATATGGATTACTTTTTAATAATCTACTTTTACTTTCTCCTAACTGTAATTATAACTGTAAGCAAAATAATTATCGGGTATTGATATGCTTTTAAGAATGAACACGATTATCAGTTTTTCTCTGCAAAATAAAATTATTTAACGGATTTACCGCACTTTTCTTTAGTTTGGCTTTGCTCGATTTTCTTTCTTTTTCTTTATGCAAACGATTTCCTCATAAGATTGCTAGCATTTTGTAGAAAATCCTTGAATAAAAAGGCATTCTTTACTTTAGGGCAGATGACCTTCAACAGCGTTGTATAATTGGCCAATTTGATTGAGAGAAATTTTGAGAATACTTCATAGTATATGTAAGAAAATAAAATACATAAAATTCCAAAAAAACTCATAAATGTATTAACTGTGTTCAATCTCAAAAGTATGGTAACTAGGTGAGTTATTCAGCATATTTAAAGAAAGGGTGGCCCAAAATAAACCGAACTGAAGGCAAGTGAAGAACGTATGTGAACTATAAGATGATATTATACAGATAGCTCAAGATAAACAGAACTTCTTCAGCAGTAATTGAAATTGAATGTTGTTCTAAGTTCCGCCCTCCTGTACGATAATGAACACAAACAAGTATCAGGCTTAAATGACGTCATTTCCATCACAAAAGCAAACTGAACTGCGGTTCGCCTCTGAATGGTATATATTTAACATTTTTCGAGTATTTTATTTGCATTTATTTAATATCGTAAGCAGGGAAAATAACTTGATGCTTTCTCAGATTGAGTTTCTGTTCTTTATTTCAGCTGTAAATACAAGTCTAAGCTCGGTGCTAGCGCTGATGCTGGCCGTCAGCGACATCTTATATTTTTATCACCCATCGGCATGGATGATTGATCCCATCACAAGCTTGTTTGTGGCCTTGATCTTATTTATTGGAGGCATCAGGTAAGAATTTTTCAGTAGATTTGATCAGAAGGAAAAAATAATTATTAAAATGTTTTTAAACTAATTTGCAAAGTCGAAAGAAAATGCATATGCTATGCAATTTAGTACAAAATCAGCACAGTCTGGGTAAATCTTGCTTCGAATCTAAACTTCTATACTAAAGTATAACTGTTACATAGGTAAGTTAGAAAAAATGATTTTTTAGAGAATTGGCTTATGCACATCATGTAGTATAAAGAAACTCTTTTAAAAATAAATATTTTGTTTTTCCGTTTTCATTTTGGTCATATTTACAAAACGTGGTTTGCAAACTACCATTCAGCAACTGATAATAAACGTCTTTCAAAAGTCTTAACTTTATTTTTAAACTAACATGTGTTATCACAAAATAATTTTTTCTCTAGATAGTTCGGGTTCAATTCCATCAAAATTTATTTTTTCTCTTTCAGAATTCATTTATTTTTATCATATAAGCTGGGAATTTGAATTGAAAAACGTATAAGATTACTGAGCATCTGCAGTGTCATTTCACATTTAGAAATAAGAGAAAGGATTGGCTATATGAGTGATTTTGTTCATAAACTATAGAATAAAACTATAAAAAGTAATTCGCTTAAAATATCCTCGTGTAAGATAATACTTTCATAGCAGATAACTCTCAATTCTCTTTAACAATAAAGTAATTATGATGGATCCGATTAGTGGAGACTAATCGGGCTAGTTATGTGAGATTTATTTAATGTGTAATGTGAATTCTGGCTAGTTTACCTTATGTAAATCGATATGAATGCATTTCTCCTAAAGCTGTGATAACTGATTTTCATTGATTTACCCCGATTTCCAGCTTTAATTAAACATTTTCAATGAACAGGGTATTTTCAGTAAAACGTCGCGGGAAAGGACAAGATAAATCACTTTAAAACCCAGTAACGATATAATCCAAATCTAGAAGCTATTGCCAAGTAAATTCTTTGCATTTTAACAATCGATAACTAAATATAAAATCATTTTTATTGTTACTGTAATTGTGAATTTTCCTAGAGTAATCTAGAAAGACTTTTTCAATAAACTATCGTTAAGATACTTTTGCTTGTAAGTCAAGACCTAACAGTAAATTTATATGTATTAACATATATATATAGAGGGTGCCTCAAGAAAACCTCCCAAACTCTGCATAGCCAGATTCCTCGTTTAAAATACATAAAGAATGCTCAAGCAATTATACCTGCACAACCCATAATTTTCGAAGCAAATGCGAAAGAAAAGTATGACATATCCGGTGAAGGTAAAAAAAAAGTTATTAGAAACAAGCACTTGACATTTCCATGTTTCCAGAGGAATATGTTCGAAATGTCCCCCGAGCATATCAAGGTATGCTTGCGCGCACCGTTCATGCTTCTAATAAAGTTTTTTTTCCTTGCTTTGGATATGACGTCATATTTTTCTTTCGCATTTATTTCCAAAGGGCATTGTCTTAGGGCATTTTTTGTATATTCCAAGCGAGGAATCTGACTGTGCAGAGTTTGGGCGATCTTAATGGGATACCCTTGTATATATCAGTTCTGATTTACGAAAACCTTTTTTACCTCCATATAAAGGCTATTTGTTCCAGCTTTGGCCCTATGGCTATAGTTCTAGTCCTTATCCACCGGTAGTTCGTCCCTTGCTCAGTTTTGGCAAACGTCTAGACTCACTCATTGATTTTTTTATGTATAAAATGAACACAAGCCAGTTTCCTTCAGAAGGGAGCTAATCAAATGCTTTTCCGTAACAAATGAGCAATTTTCATCTGGAGACAATTACCAGTTACTTCAAAAGAAAATTTTTGATGTTTGTTTTATTGGTCTCTGCAGCTGTTTCGTTTGCATCTAAAATGAAAGAATTGTAGAAACTATATCTTACAATCTATCGGCTTTTTATAAACAATACACAGTAGCGCAAAACTAATGTTTGAGAAAAGTTTCGCAAGAAATCATTTGAGTCCACTGGATTTTGAGTGTTTTTACCGTTGTGTAACTATTTAATAAAGTAAATAATCTTATGAAGGATAATGTTATAAAACTAGATTATATGAGAACCGGATAGTTTCGAAAATAACAACGAAATTAAATGCAGTTGGAGCCCAAGATTCTATGAACATATCTATGAATTAAGCGAGTCTTAAAGAACTAGATATTAAAGAGTATTTAGTTTATGCACTTCACGTGCTTAAAAATTTTTTGAAATGATTGCCTAAAATACATATCCGCTGTTCCTGTGACATCAGATCTGAGATCTTACTCGCTACTCAAACGCTTAAATGGAGAATGCGACCGAGCAGCCGTGCAAACAACCACCTGTTTGAATTTCGGATTGTGGCTATCCTATAAACAACAAAACTAGTTTAAGCCGGATGGTATCAAGTCATATGATAGCTTATGTTATGCATTTTTAAATTTGTCACATCTTTTATATTCTCATTTCCTGTCACCTGTGACGACGTGATTTGGAAAGCTTTTGCATGGGAATTATCAATGACTTTCAAAACGACTGACAGTTTACCTTTGACCTTGATAAACTATCTTTTAGCTGCAGCTGAATATGAAGTTTTTGTCTCTGCTGCTGTTTGTAAATATTTGGGACAAATACGCGTTATATCACATTTCTTCAAATGCATTGTCTTCTCATAAAAAAGTGCATTGCTTGAACCAATAAATATGTAAAACATATTTAAAATATTACAGAAGGTTTAAAACTTGTTACTATTATTTAGGTTAGAATGGAAATAATTATTTGTAAAAATTAAATGTAATTTGTAATAATATATAGTATAAAAACTTTTTATTAATTGCATTAACAATAAAAGCGTTCTGAGAAAATTCTCAGAAATATTGTTATTGCGTTGCATAAATTATATTAAACATTTGAAAACAATAACAATAAAAGTTAACTAGAAGTATGTGTATATTTTAAAATCGGTCATACTTTTAAATTCATAGTAAGAAACATTTATAATCTGATGGATAATTAGATCCGATTAACAATCGGTCACACATGGCTAACACACAGATATCTATTGATAGGCGAAACGGAACCAGTGTTTGCTGAATACAGCACTATTTTAAACATATTTTAATTAATTGTTTAACTTTTAATTGCTTTCAAAAAATTTTATTTTAATACTTGTGAGATTTCAGCAAAAGATTTAGTTGGTTAAAGAACCACATTCTAATATTTTTCACGTTTCAAATTCTGCAAAGTTTTACTATGTTATATAAATGCCCTGAATTCAATTTAGGTTTCAGAAGATCTGATCGGTATCTAGTTCTAGTTATAGTCATATCATCAACATTTATCCTTTGACTACAGAGTTTTTCTATCTGTATTTCATGGTTTTCATATCTTAGTTTTTCATAAAATAATTTTATGTTTTTGATTTTATTGCTTGCTATTTTGTACCTAAATGTAACGTGGTCTTAAACTTCCATTCGTGAGTACGCACTGAATGGTGCATGTGTTCTTGTCTTTATTATTTTAAGTTTTGAAAATATACAACCTTTTGTTTGGCGTAACATAACCCCCATAGGTTTTGTGCCAAAACACTCCAACCAACCAGCCAACTGATGGATAATTAAATTTTTCTTCTAGAAGTTTGGCTAGCAATAACTTTTATTAAAACTGGCATCTGCAAATGTGCATGACTGATTATTGTTGTTATAGTATAACATAATGTATCATCATGTAGAAAGTAAAGAAAATAAACAGTAGATATGTGTAATATTAAAAACACCATATCTTTATTACGATTTATTTGTTACGACATGAGTAGCCGTCTGTAAGATAAACCGATTCTCGATTAGTTTGTTTAAAACCTACGTCAGTTTAATTTCCTTTCAACAGTAGATTCCAAAGTAAGCTGCTTTAGATGTAGACTTCTTTCAGTTTTCAACAAAAACTGAGTTTGTTCAGAATTCATTGATTCAGAAGTTAAAATGTAACTTAAATAGATTTAGATAATTTGATTTCTGCGTATTATTGCAGAGAAAAAATAGCTGCAGATGCATACGTACTGTCTTTAACAATATGTTAATAAAAGATCGTGGTAAATTTTGTAAATATCTGCAACTGCAAAAATCTGTAATTTTTGGACAGAACATATTTACACGATTTATTTTTCCTCCTAATGTAAGATATTTCAGTGCAAAAAAATATAAAAAGGGTATTAAGCAGGGAACTTAAACTTTTTTTCAGCCCCGAACCCTTTTATCACAGATTTTTTCGCGACCTCATAATATTTGCGAAGATTGTGTGGAAACCCATAAGCATTGCGCAAATCCGACACACACGTGAATGAAACTGTCAATCTTTTCACTTGTACTGTAATATACTAATGCAATTTTAGGTCATTAACTTTAATTTCTAATTTTAAGACATGGAACAATGTGAAAATTTTAAATAAGTAACAAACGAAATGACAGCGTCACGTGCAAAGCAAGTAAAATGAGCGTTTGAACGTTTATAGTATAAAAAGAATGCGTCAAAAACTTTTTTTTTTTCTTTTTCCTTTTTCTGTCTGCATTGACTTATCTTTATCTATTTTCAGATACATTATGTAAAAATATTTGGTAATTGTAAAATTATTGTAACAAGTTAAAGAAATACCAAAACTGCTAAAATTTTTGGCGACCCCCTACTGCAGGTCCCGCGATCCCCATGGGGGTCGCGACCCAGTTTAAGAAACTCTGATATAAAGATTGTTGTGACATCAGACATGTCTATAGCTTAATCTTTCTGTCGTCCCGTTACCGTTACGTTGTGATACAGTAAGGCATTTATCATCCGCCCAGCTTTCCCATTATGCAAAATATACATTCTTTCTTTTATCACCTGCTGCCATTCAAAGTTCTATAACAACTTTAATTTTTCGAATTGAAACATTGCATCATTTATCTAACTGAACGACTAAAAATTATTGTATATACCTTTTTTATAATTCATAGATTTATTTTTGGTTATATCTCGTAATGGATGCAATTCATGTCTTGGTCATGTGATTTATGATTCGCATATAATTCGTAAATTTCAGAATCATTTGCGCCCTTATAAGAAATAATAAAATGTGATGCCATATATTACATACTCAGGATAAAGAATAACTGGATTTTTAGTTTACATATGCGCAGGTATGAGTAGATTTTTTCATGTATTGTATCCGAGGAGTAGTTTTCTAGTTAATATTAAATTATTAAATTTTGATCAAACCTTTTTATGTAATTAAAAAACCGAAAATTATTGGTGGTTCGTTGCATACAAAATGATGTAAAATAATTGTTTTTATTATTAATTTGGCTAAGTAGTAAAAAAACGAACTTTTTACAATAAATCAGTTGATTCTAGCGAGCTAAAATTGGGAAAAAATGATGGATCGTAGGATTTCGTGAGGGAGAAGTTAAAAAAACTACGTTTGTTTTAAAATAATGAAGTCCATATAATTCAACTCATTAATCATTTTTTACATTTTGTTTTTCATACTTTCAATCCATAAAATTGTGAAATGATCGTTATTTGATATGCAGAGATTTAGATATATAAAGCATATGTTTTAAAATCAATACAGCTTATACTGTAGCCATTTCCTTAAAAGCCTTAGGCGCAAAACTTTCTTCTGAAATCAATATTTAATCATACTGGAATATTTTCACTTGATATCAGGTAAATATTGGAGTTATTTAAAATACTATCACTCTTCCTATTCTCACGAAAGTGTTTCCTATAAAAAAACTCTTATAGGGGGGAAATTTCCGGTTTGGAATCCCTTGGGATAAAGAACCTTCACGTATTTTAAAATTTCATCAGAGCGAAGATTGCTTCCGAGAATAGTGAAGTTTGAGTACTTTTCATGCATGATTTAACGTTGACTGAAGTATTTACACCTTGTAAGAATAATTATAGATTCTGAAAAAGATATTTCCTTAGCTGTTGAACTGGTCTCTTTCAGTGCATGTTTTGAGAGAGAAAGGGGACTGAAAAATGCTTTCAGAAGTAACCGCCCACATTTTAGTTTTCGAAAATAATGTCAAAAGATTTAAACGTCTTACCGTGAAACTATAAATAATGCTTATTTTTTTTTTTTCACATGACTAATATATGACACAAAAGTCAGCGTCCGTTTGGGTAGGCAAAAGTTCGAAAAAAGTTGTGTGGCAAAACAGATCGAACATTTACTGTTCCAGTACAATGTAAAAAGATAAAAGAAAGGAAATTATTTTTTTTAATATTTGTACTTGCTGGATTAGCTTTCAAAAGAAGTGATGTCTTCAGTATGGATTCATTGATATATTTCTATTTCGCAACTAATTTTTATACATTCAACCTGCATTTTTAATTTGTAGCATTTTAAAGAAAAACATTTTCTGCATTATGATCGATAGGGTTTTAATTTGATAACTGAGAAGGTTTTCTGAATATTTGGAAAAATTAACCCTAGAGTAGGTTCAGAATTTTGACATTCAAGTACAGGTAAAGGTGCAGATAGTTATTACAATAAAAAAGCTGTGATCTGATATAATTCAAACATTAAAAAAGAATCAAACTATGGAAAAATGTTCTTTAGTTAATTGCTTACAGTTTTTATGAATCAAGCTCTTGCTCGTGGGCCGAATGAAGAGTGTTGGGGTGTGCGCAACTCCTATGTGCATTCTAAAGAGCACCTAGAGTTGCACATTCGGCAAAAAAGTGTTTACGGTCTTTGTCCTTGTAGAATTTGAAGTTATATTCTCAGTTGAGATTTATGCAGATGATTTGAAATTTCATTTTAAATCGATGCGCTATACTGCATCATCAACAAACTTAAGGTTACAGTTTCAAAAGGCGTGACACGTTTACATTATTTCTTTTCCGCAATATTCTACCATTGAAACTATTACTTGGATTCTGCAATTCTTCGATGATAAAATTGATCAATGTTTTCAGATTAGATTTTTTCTCCAAAAATTGATTTTTTCGTTATTTAGAATTCTTATGAGTCAGATTATGAGATAGAAGACCTTTTTTATTTCATAGGTACCACACTTTTACCCTCTTCCCCACGGATGTATCTAGCATATCATATTACTATTTTAATAGCATATGGATCAAATGTTGTGTCGCATGTTTAATAACATTTTGATGCAAGTTTAAAGAGCGAACACATTTTTATCATTTTAATATATTTGACAACACTCTGTTTTATTTCTGAAGTATTTTCACTGAGAGTCTCCTAAACTTTCTTGTATTTTGAATTTTGCCAGGTTTTGTATCAAATACTGTTAAATGATTTTATTGTATTAAACACTCTTAAGTGATTTAAACTAACCATTTCACTAAATTCTATAATAGAGTTTTCTTTTTCGAAATGCAAGTTAAAAAATTATTTACATATTTCTAATCGCATATGCGTTCTCGAAACAGCCACAATAAAACCTTGAAATAACAAACTCTAAGGAAATGCTTACTGAATGAATCTAATTACAGAATTCTAAAAAAAAGTGACTGAATCAGGAAAATGATTTCTAAGATGTTTCTAACTTATATCCAAAGCGACTTTATAAACTTACATATGCATTTATTGCAGATACGCGTTGATATTATGCGTCTAATTGCCGACCTTTGGTGCCAGTGATAGTTTCTCATTGTGGTTCCTTTCTTTGTTACTAGATGGCAGCACAATCTCATTCTAAACTTCTATTAACTGATGCCGTCGTAGTAAAACATTGTTTTGCTATGTAGTATATCAGCATACCTGTAAGTGACGGCAAAGTATTGAACGGCAGTTGCACTCAATAAATATTTTATTAGTCAATTTGAAACCCTAATTCTACTTTGGTAGAATATACCGTACATGAATTCGTCATGAGATCATGAGGATTAAACATAGTCTGCCTGATATTTTGCTGGGTTCGTCTTCAAAAGTGTAATATTTAATTCATGGCTAATTTAATGCATTAGCGTTTATGGTTATTCTGTGGCAAGGAAATCAATCAGCTGTTTGCATTTCGAAGATTATAATTTGCCTTTTGAGTTTTTGAAGTATTCGCATTCTGTTCTTATGATTCAAATTCTTAGAGGTTATATACCTTTTGCGGGATTTCTGATTATTACTCACAAACAGTGGCGGACTGACCAATGAAATCTGTCCTGGCAGGAAAATACCTGATCATGTTAACACAATAGGAAAAATACGTTTCCAAACTGAAGGTATAACTGACCTGAGTATAGGAAACTTAAATTCATTAATCATTCCTTAGAACAAAAGGCCAAATTAGCCATTTTCATTCGTGACGAGGTTGGAAGATAAATTTACTTACAATGGTTACTTTCCAACATAAATAGAATTCTATCAAACTTACATATTTACGAAAATGTTGCCTAAGTTTCTCCTAAAACCCGAGAAAGCAACTGACTAAACAAATAACGTTGAGTAAATCGTGTTGAGTAAAGACACACTAGTTGTTAGTTTTATATACCTGATCCATCTCACGAAGTCGTAGCTCAGTAAAATTTATGCATGTCAAGACACGGAACTTGTATTTACATTTAACTTATTCAAGTGGAATGACATTCTTTGCTTTAAAGTACTGTAAAAAGGTTAAATTTCATGTTTAAAAATCGTTTTATCCTCCGGCTTCGAAATAACTCTTCATAAAAACTCTCAACCTTATTTAAACTTTGTAACTGGTAGAGCATACCCAGGATCAATAGTTAAAGAAAATAAAGCCTATACCTAACCTTTCACCCGGGATTGTGTGCATTAACAAGAATAAAAGTTACTTAATTTTACTGTTGAAACTGTTTACATTATAGAGTAAATAAAAAATATTTCATTAAACACTTTTTTAATCTTCTTTACAGAGTTTTATGCCGCAAAGAACGTGTTGTGGAGACTACCCCGTTACTAGGCGGTGGTGCGGTGTGAACGACACGCCTCCAACTCTTGTAGAAACCTTCATCCTTAGCTAGTAGAACTTCAGCTGCAGAGAGCACAGCACCCTTTGCACCCTCACCCTTCTATGAAGGACAAGTGACTGGCCTTTGGGGCCAAGTGGTCAGAATTGTCCGTAGAAGGTCGAGGCTGGCCGCAGAAGTAAAATAATCTCCATCTTCCTGGTCTGGTCGGCAGAGTCTAGTCTTCTCCAGACTCTTCCCAGTTCGTGTTGTCCTTCTGTCAATCTCCCCGTTTGGATTAACATTGTATTCAGTTTGTTACTTTTAAAGTGTGATATATTATTGTGTAACGCTGATGTAAAGTGTGTGCGACAATATGCTGTTTTTTAATATTCCGGTAACTGCAAAATTGTTTTTGTTGATGGAAATTAAAGTGTTTTTATTTTGTATAGAACATTGCATTGCATGATTGTTGTTGTTGACAGAAAATTAAAGTGCCTTTATTTTGCACAGAATATTGCATTGCATTATTTTAAAGAAATCTTTTGTCTATTTATGAGAAACGCATATTGCGTAAAACTTACACCTAATTGAGCCCTCCCTCATCATAACGGGTACTAAATTAAAAATTTAAAACAATCATCCAAGCAATCAGTTATTTTCCATAGTCGATCAAACCACTTCTGGTTTATATATAAATTAACCGCTCAAACATCTGTATACAGACAAATACCTGATATGACCTGATTCAAGACCTTTTGAGCCAGTTAGGCATCCTTTCAACATATCTTGAATTCTGTTGGACAGCTTTCGTATATTTTATATTTCGTATATTTTATACAGAAAACGGAATCATGTTAACATAATAGGTTGTACAATATGTGCATATACACATACATGGTATGTTTATATGCACATATATGGTAATGTTTGCAGCATTGTATAACAGTTTCTATTTACACGCATTGCGATCATATATTACTATCGTAAACTTCATTAATCACATTTTGGCTTGATTGATCAATCGTTTGATTTAACATATCCCATACATTGATTCTGTGACAGAAAAAAATGGAATTATGTTTCTAACAGCCTGTTTTGAATCCTAGTAAAGGCATTTACAATTATGATTGTAATAGATATCACAATCATCATTTCGTATCGATTTCAAATTGATACGAAAATTTTCGCGAAAGTTTGACTGTAGGCCAAAACTGGTGAGGAAATTTAAATTCGTTTTCGTGTAGAGTACTTTTGATCAAAATTAGAAAGGAGCTTAAGCAAACAGCTGTAGTGTGTTTCGCTTAAAAATAAGGTTATTTATTTCTAGTGTACTGGTCCTAGTGAAGGGTCGCAAGAGAAATTCTTCATTATAGGTTTGAGCTTTTCCTTTAAAAATACTTAAAGAAGTAGCACCGATAGCATCGTTTTTCATAATAACATAAAATAAATAGACGGGCTACACTATAAATACAGAATAGTTTAAGAATAAATTATTCGTGAGGATTCAGATAATACAGTTCATTTTAAATTGAACACATAATTCCATTCTAAGTATGAAAATGAATGCTATTTTTGATACCTTTCAAAAGAAAGTTCTCACTCTTAAATTAAAAAATAATGCGTACAGTTACCTTCATGATATCTTGCCTGAAAAAAAAACCTTAGAATTTCATAAGACTTCTGAATTTTAGTATGAACTGCAAATACTTTGCATAGCTTCACAAGTTGCTTGGCTGTTGAAGCTTTGACTTTATAGTGCTAAAGTGGGGACTTAAAATAAAGAAAAAAAAAATTAAGTCGAAAGGATTCAGGTTTTAGGAAGAACTAGAAGGTTTGTTAAAAGATATACTCTCAATGAGTTCGCAGTTTATCAATTTGCTCTTGGACTTATTCCTACATATACAATATTTTTTTGTCTTTTTTAACTTTATTATTAACATCACTTTCTCTGCCCTTCTCATAAAACTTACAGCAAAATCACAATACTTTAAAAAACATACCTTTAGAATTCTCGACACAGTATTAGCGTTACACTACCTTTATTAGCACAGACGGGCTAATTAGTCTCATTTTTGAGTTTAATCACATTTTTTTGTTTTTTTTACTTTTCAAATAACTAGCTACTGGCGCAGCCAGCCGCCTAAAATTAATACTATAATATATATATATGATGCGTTTAATAAATCCAGCTAGTATAATTTCACGGATTCAACTAGTGCTTAATAACACAGATAAAAGATTGAATTTATTGGTTTTAAATCGCTTAGTTTGTTAACAGACAGATAACAAATAAATAAATATCTTCGCTTCGCGAAATAGCATCAAACTGATACATGGAAGATAGACATGGGCAGTAGCAACACTCTCCTTTTAAATAGCTGAGTTCTTTTATTAAATTTGAAAGGCATATCTTAAGCTTTGCCTAATGGTAACACATTTGGAAAATGATGCAGATAAAAAAGTGGGATTTGAGATTAATAGCACCTCTTGTGCTACTACGGTTGCTAGTTATATTTCTGGCCTAATAGTTTAGAAACAAATATTTATGTTCGAAAACGGTTTTAGTTTTTTTCAAAATATTCTCCATCAAGATTCACGTACTTTTGCATGCGTTTGAACTGATTTTCGAAGCACGTTTTCCACTCCGATTGAAGTAACTCCAAACATGCATTTTGAATGTATCAACTGCTCCTTCGGGTTTCGTAAATCGCTGAATTCGTAATTTTTTTTTTACGTGCGGGAATAAAAAAAAAAGGCATTGTGTGCCAAGTCGGGGCTGTTCGGCGGATGACATATCAAGTCGATGTTTCGGCCCGTCAAAAATTCTTTTGTTTGAGCTGATGTGTGAGAGCTCGCATTGTCGTAAAGAATGATTCGCCTCTTCTTTTGATTTTTTTTTGTATTTCTGCGATGACTTCTGGCAAACAAATGGTCGTGTACCATTCGGAATTGACCATCCTGCGTTGTTCAACATCACTGTTGCGACGTGACCGGTAATACCTAAAAAATTGGCTACCGTTTGCTTCGATCTGTTTTTTCGCGAATAACTTTCGTTGGATTTGGCTCGTCATTGAAGATCCATACAGTCGACTGCTGTTTTGTTTCAGGCTCATATGCATAGATCCATTAATCGTCACCTGTGTAGATGTTATACACAGCCTTTGATACACCTTGAATGTTTCATGCAATACCTTATTGATGCTTGTCATACTAATGCCCAAAGATACCTCAAGCTCACGGTATTTCACATGACGATCTTGCTTTATCAGTTCCCGCACAACATCGATATTTTCTGGCACAACAACCAATTTTGGACGACCTTCACGGAATTGGTCTTGTAGCAAACGTCAACCGCGAATGAAATTCGGTATACCAGTTTTTTTACAGTGCTGTAGGATTGCGCTTTATAGCTGTATGAAGAAGTAAGTTCATCGAAGCACTCTTGTCTTGATAATCCCCGTCGAAAGTTATGAAAAATAATCGCACGAAAATGCTCACGAACCATTTTTTGCCCAAGATGTTTACAGTTACTTCAGTTTACAGGAAACAGCACAAATCATGCTAAAATGGCAAAACATTCTGAAGAAGTTATGGTTAAAAAAATCAAATTTTCGATTGGAAACGTCTGATGTCGACAAGCAACATTTACTATTGCCAAAGCCAAAATATGAATACTAACCTTCGTAAAATAAATGCTAATGAAAAAATTGATGCTAATGAAAGTGCAAGATCTTAGACTTTTGGATGGCTCATGACAAAGTAAATAGACGCCGCTTAATGTGATCGTGGTTAATATAATAATAATTCGGATATTGTTATCCAGCTGCTAAAGTCCCATCTATTTGTATATGAACAAAGAGAATTCTTCAGCTATTATGATAAACAATTTTGTTAAAATGATCAAAAGATTATACAATAAATTTTATTAAACTAAAGTAAAATCGAAAAATAAGGTCGAAGTAAATTATAAAAAGTAGCAAATGCCAGAGAAATGTTCCTAAGATATTAATTCACCAAACATGTTGGTTTCGATTTTACTTAACCATTTAGAACTAAGCAGACAAAAAAATAAAAAGGCAACTTTATCTTCGCATAGATTCTGATTAACTTTATCTATTTTTAGGTTGGTTAGAAAAAGTCCCTTCCTTTACAAGAACACAGGAACAAAATAATAAATAAATTATCCTTCTTTCCTTTACTTATTATCCAATAAGATTGCGTTTTTTGTTTTCGTCTAATTTTTAATTTTACATTGGCACGTTCCGTTTAAAACAGGGATGCTCTCCAAGTATTAAGGGTTCAGCATAAGTAAAATAATTTTAGAAAACGTTATGAACAGTTCTAGAATGAAACTTGGCATTAAACGCATTTGGGTAAGAATGGAATTTAGAATCTTTGTGCATTTTTTGTCATCTGAATCATTGGCATATCAAACTAAAAAATCATTAAATAATTTCATTCAAAATTTTGGAAAGCTTCGCTTTACTGGTATCCAATCAAAGCTTTTATTGGGGGGAAATGCAATATTGTAATTTTAATGAATTTTGATGACTTGTATCACCTTGTGGGGGCCCTTATGACAAACGTTTAACTTCAGGGAAAAATTTAATGGTATATGTTTAATGCTTATTTGAATTTACTCTTGAAATAATCCTATGAATATTTTCTTCGATTTAAAAAGATTCTGGAAAATTCTTTTAAAAACAATTTGAAAATTTTAAATGTTCAATTTTTGTCAAACTAGATTGAGGTAATAAACCAGCCCATTCAAGTGACTTAATAATGCATTTCATTTAATAAATTCCATTTGTGTCGTTTTACTATATATGCAGGTATTTTTAAATGTGTGCGTTTAAATTTGCTTTTCATTAAAAGCATATTTCAGATTTTGCTTTAATTAAAACTTTTTATTGATAAAAGATTTTTCTCCTCCTACTTTTTACATTTAATTTATGAATAAGAATTCGAAAGGTCCAAGAATGTTTCAGGATCTGGATCTGGGATCTTTCTCATTTTTAAGAACTTTGTATTTCATGTATATTTCCGATTTCTTAGGGTTACCATACAGTTAATACTAATTATGATCTTTGAAATCCAAAATACCTCGCACAATAAGAAACTGCTGTTATTGAAAATTCTTGATTTTCAGCTGCAGTATATGTAGGTAAAATAATAAAAAGCAGCAAAAGCAATATTGAAAAATGTAGAATTGGTTTCAAACATTCTCAAAAATGCTTGTTTAGAGTGTTTTATTTTTTAGCAATTCTTTGCTTTGCCGCAATGTTGCAACTTACTTCAACAGCTAAAATTTCTGGATGTATTTTATCTTATTGCTGTTCATTTTTCACAAATGCTCTAAAATACCTCCTACATAATGCATGTACCAAATCTCGCACGTATATTCTATATACTCCATGCAATAATCACAGCAAAGCTCAAATATTTTTCAAAATGTTATTTCTCTTAAAAATTTGCTACAGATAATGAAAAATGTCAGCTAATGACGCTTAAA